CATACATCAGTTGGTGCTTTAAGAGAAAAAGAAAGTGAAGGAGTGGCAATTGTAAGAAATCAGGAAAAAATGAAGAAAGAGATTGAAATGATTTAAAAGAAAATTGCAGACGGAAGAAAGTGAAACATGTCCTACGTCTGTATCTTAGGAGTCCCAAAAGAGGAAAGCCAAAGCAATAGAATAGAAGAAGTACTCACATTTTCTGAAATACAAAAAGATTTGAAAGTATGTAATTGAAAGCATACATCATTTATTCAAAAACATTAATCATGAATGACCAGAAATAAGACCTATTCCAGATAAATTACAGGACCTTAAATTTTTAAAAAATCTAGCTCAAAATAAGTGATTTTAAAAGAAAAGAACATTTAGATTCCCATCAGCCTTTTCAGCAGCAATGCTTTGTGTCAGAAGAAAATAGAAGGACATATAGGATGCTCAGAGAGAGTGTATGTGATCTAGGTTTTTTAATAACTGAGAAAACTGACTTTCAAGATGTAAGAATGTAAGTAACGTACGAGGTAAGTACTACTGTGCCCATGAGCCTTTCCTGAGAGACCCACTAAAAAACATACAGCAGACAAGCATTACTCCAAAAAGACTGCTAGTTTTCATTTCACGTGCTTGTCAGTATCTTCTTCAGCCAGAAGAGGGCAGTGCAGAGCAGCGTAGCTCTGAGTTCCCGATGCTTAGAGCCTGTCCTTGGCTGAAAGAACTGTGCAAGGCTTGCCTAAAGAAATCAAATAACTAGATCATCCCTGTATAGGCCTTCTTTATTTGCAGAAAGAAACAACAGTTTCTAAATACATGTCAAGGCTAATAGATATAGATACATAAATAAAGAGAGAGAGATGCAGATACCTACATAGATCTATGCAATTCTCTATATCTGTATCTATAGAAGATCTAGGTATCTTCTTTCTTCTGTCAGGAATCTCCCAAAGTTGAATTGAAGTTATTATATTACAGTATTTATTCTTATAGTTTATCCTGCTCTTAGTTTTAAAACCAGTTCTCAGGGACTCCTTGGTATGAATTAAAAATGTATTCTGACACTTTTATGTATAGAACGGATGAGTAATAAGGACCTGTTGTTTAGCCCAGGGAATGCTACTGTATGCCCTGTGGTGATCTAAATGGGAAAGAAATCCAAGGAAGAGGGGATATATGTACGCATGTAGCTGGTTCACTTTCTGTACCGCAGAAACTAACATTGTAAAGCAACTGTACTCCAATAAGAAAAATAGAGTATTTTGTTTTGTTTAGTTCAGGTTTAGGACAGAGGAGATTTGGAGGCTCTTTAGAAACCACTTTGAAATCTCTGGGCTTCCCTGGCGGCTCAGTGGTAAAGAATCTGCCTGCAATGCAGAGACCCGGCTTCAATCGCTGGGTCAGGAAGATCCCCTGGAGGCGGAAATGACAACCCACTCCAGTATGCTTGCCTGGAGAATCCCATGGACAGAGGAGCCTGGCAGGCTACAGTCCGTGGGGTCACAAGGAGTCGGACACGACTGAGTGACTAACTCACTTTTCTTTAGAAATCATGGGCAGTGCAGAAATAATTGTACAAACAATAGAACAGATACTGTCTGCAGTTTCTGCGAAGGTGTCTCCCAACATGAAGAGCACTGTTTTAAGTGTCTGCTGCCCAGTTACAGGGCCTGTAGCTGGGTGATTGAGTTCAGACCATCATCTTACACTAAGGGAAAGACAGCCAAGGCCTGTCTTTGTCCTTTGAAGATGAAACACGAGTTGTGGGGTCCACAGTCCTCTCCTGAAACTCGGCTCCTCAGGACCTCCACCGCCTGGGCCCTTTCGTGACTGTGTGAACACCTTCCACTGGGTCTGCTGTCTCCAAAGGGACTCCACTCAATGTTTCTAAGGAGATGTGCTGTTAAATCAATGCCCCAAGTCACTTGTCAGTCGAGGGAATAAAATGTAGGAAAGCTTTATGACTTGATCACAGCAGACAGGCTTTTGTGTGTTACCCTGAAAATGTAATTTTTCAACAAAATGACTTCCACTCTTGTTTCCGTGTCTGTACGTTAATGTATTCTCCCAAGAGTTCTAGTGAATAATGAAACCAGCTCCATCTTTCATTACTGAGAACAGATGAGTATGCTGCCTCTCCTCGCATGAGAGAAATTGCCGGTGTGTTCAATGGTCCTTCCCTTCGTGACGGGTCTGCCGTGACACAGGACAGTTCTGTTGCTTGTGGCGATGTCGTGAAGGTTGTCAGTTATGCCGGGATGACCAGCGCTTTCCCGGCTCCTATCATATGGCCGCACGGGTTGACATGACCGCCTCTGTTTCTAGATTTGTCTGCAGCCTGGGGCCCTGTGACTTTGTACCTCACGTTACTCATCTTTCGTTCAGCAGACCCTGGATGGTCTATCTTTCTCTGAATACAGTTGTTCAGTCTCCTGGTTGATCGTCTTCCCTCAACTTTGTTTGAGCACATTGTGCCTTATAGTATTTCCTCCACTCGCCTTGCTGCAACGGCCACCTCACTCAGCACTTAAATGGATAGTTTGCACCAAATTAATCTGCCCTGTGCACACATTTCCAACTTGAACCTTTACCCACTGCCTCCTTTGCCTGTAGAAATCTTAACCAGCCTCCAGGCCTAGTATGACTTCTACTTCTTCAGTGGAGCCTTTGCTATTTCAGACACGCCTAGTTCTCCCCCGCCCAGAACCTTACCACCGCTTCTCATCTTTCCTATGGTGCATATCACCTAAGACTTGGGTAACTACTGTATCCTGCTTTTTTCTGATAATCTCATGTGTCACAGCCTTGTCTTCACAGTTACTCCCCTACATACAAACCTTCAAGGTGCAGACTTTCACAGATGCGAATGTGTGTTCGCATATCCGGTCACGTACGTTAGTTCACGTGTCTGGTGGGCTGCGTTGGGTGTGTGCATCCTCTGCAGGTGACTGTGCTTTTCCGTGCCTTGCTGCACAGGACTGTATAGAGTCCAGCGATGCTGTGTTTTTATTTCTTGCTGTTTGCTCGGTGCCAGCCCCTGTATGCCATATACTGCGCTGCTGTATTTTTCAAGGTGCGTGCATGCGTGCTCAGTCGCTTCACTCCTGTCTGACTCTCGGTGTCGCCACGGACTGTAGCCCGCCAGGCTCCTCTGTCCATGGGATTCTCCAGGCAAGAACACTGGAGTGGGTTGCCATGCCCTCCTCCAGGAGATCTTCCAACCCACAGATCGAACCTGGGTCTCCTGCATGGCAGGTGGACTCTTTACCGCTGAGCTACCAGGGAAGCCCTAGTTTTCAAGGTTCTATATTGTAAAGATGACAAGTGTTCTCTTTATTTTTTGTGTTTGTTTCTTACATACTATTTGTGTGAAACATATTGTAAACCTATTACAGTACAATACAGCCGATTGTGTTAGTTGGGGGCCTCAGCTAACTTTGCTGATTGTTGTTCAGTCGCTCAGTCGTGTCTGACTTTTTACGACCCCATGGACTGCAGCACGCCAGGCATCCCTGTCCTTCACCATCTCCCAGAGCTTGCTCAAACTCATGTCCATTGAGTCAGTGATGCCATCCAACCACTTTATCCTCTGTCACCCCCTCTCCTCCTGCCTTCAATCTTTCTCAGAATCAGGGTCTTTTCCAATAAGTCGGCTCTTTGCATCAGGTGGCCAAAGGATTGGCGCTTCAGCCTCAGCATCAGTCCTTCCAGTGAACATTCAGGACTGATTTCCTTTAGAATTGACTGGTTTGATCTCCCTGCAGTCCAAGGGACTCTCAGAGTCTTCTCCAACACCACAGTTCAAAAGCATCAATTCTTTGATACTCAGCCTTCCTTATGGTCCAGCTCTCACATGCATACATGACTACTGGAAAAACCACAGCTTTGACTTTGGACACAGTCCAACTTTGTTGGTCTTATGAACGAACTGGACTTATAAACATACTCTTGGAACAGAACGGTATATAGGAGACTTACCGTATAACTAGGCTTTTTGGAATCTGGTAAGCAAGACCTCAGGTTCTGAGTAACTCTTTATCTCCAATAGTCGCTGAAATCATACTAAGGACTCAGTAAATCTAGTCTAATCTGTTGATCCAAATGCATAGGGCTTTGTCCGAGTGCTGTCTGTGGTCTGCACTACACTCCTTGTTCCTGGATCTTTCCAGGCTGCTATGCCTCTCTTCCTCCTCTGCCCATTTCCCACCCTCTCTGGCTCCTGTATACGTGTCACCAATTGCCTTCTGCAACTATGAAGCTGAGTTTGGGGAGTGTATCTTCTGGTTTGTAGCCAGCCTTCAGGATTGTTTTTCTCGTCCTTCCCCCTGGAATAATTTCATCGTTGTCAACAAGGAAGAAACCTTGAAAGTTCATCTCATGTTTGTCTCCATGTCTCTAGGCAGAAAAAGCTCCTAAACTCATCATTCAGATTAGGATTGGGTCACAGGCCTGGAACCTGAATCAGACGTGATGTGGATTAGGGGACATTTTTCTGAAAGATGGCAGTAGGGGTCCCGTGGTCATTGCAACCTTGAATTCTTTGGAAACTGAAAAGCCTGTGTGGTTGGAAGGAGTGCTCAGATGTGTCTGACTCCTCCTCTGTCCATGGAATTTTCCAGGCAAGCAAACGGAAGTGAGTTGCCCCTTCCTCCTCGAGGGGATCTTCCTGACACGGGGATTGAACCCACATCTCCTGCATTTCAGAGGGTTTCTTTATCACTGAACTATCGGGGAAGCCAGATGTAAGGACATTTTATTACCAATGAGCACAGCCAGTGTGTTGCCCCCATAGCTGTGACATGTGGCTGAAAAAGCTTGTTTGCAGTTATGTTCAAATAAAGTAGGGGCAGAAATTAAAATTAAATGATAGAATCAATCATATGATGGTGCTTCAGTGAAAACATTCACGCCTCATGTTTTAATAGTGTAGCTGTTTCTTGTATGTAATGATCTGTTGGTATGTTTCCCCTTTACATTCTGAAACTAAAGTCACACTCATAATTTTACAGCTTCGCAAGTCTGTCTTCAGCATCAGGGCAAGGAACCTTCTAGAAAAGGAGACTGCAGTCACGAAAATCTTAAGGTAACACCATTTAACATGGATACACAATTAACACAAGCAGGATTATATGAAACAAAAAAAAAGCTGTTTTATTAAGTAATGAACTAATTTTCTGAGTATTCATGTATACCTCTGCTAGAAAGTTGGTTTGGGTAACTGTGTGCTTAGAAATAATGTCAAACACATCATTGATGTCTTGAAAAAGTAATATTTTACTGACTCAATTGGTCCTTTTCTCTTTCATGCACTTAAACATAAATTTTAAGTACAGACAATGGCAAAAGATGGAAATAATTTCTCCTTACAAGTATTATGTCTTTTGTGATGTCTAAAGGACAAATCACAATCTAAGGGGAAAATGGTAAAAGGGAAAGCTTTCTGTATTTTTGAGTCGCCAAACCCTAAATTCATATTCTTTGTCATTCGAGAAGAACTCTGCCCAAAGTGTGAAATGAGTGGCCGACTTCTGCTGTTGTTGTTACTTATCAGCTCTGAGAACAGGGTTATGATCTCAATAAACTGTAGCTACCTCTCTATTTTATTCATGTGAGCTATATGCAAACCAAAGAATTCTGGTCTTTAAAAGCATGTTCCATATATTAACTAATTCATTTTGTTTTGCCTTAGGATCCCTCTGTGTCCTACTGGTGGGATTCCGTTAATAGAATGGGAGTGGGAAGATGGAGTATTATTGTTTTTAAAAATCCTTAAAAGAATAAGTTAACTTATACGTGAGTGCTGCGTGCTTAATTCCTCGGTCGTGTCCGACTCTTCGCGACTCCATGGACTGCAGGCTGGTCTGTAGTCCCCAGGCTCCTCCGTCCATGGGACTTTCCAGGCAGGAGCACTGGAGTGGGTTGCCATCCCCTTCTCCAGGGGATCCTCCCAACCAGGGAATCGAACCTGCATCTCCTGTGTCTCCTGCCTAACAGCAGGTTCTTTACTCCCTGAGCCGTCGGGGAAGCCCTGACTTACTTAGAGTACCTGTTGAGCGTTCACTTTATGTTCACCTATGTATGAACACAAATCACAAAATTAGAGCGTAATTCATAAAACTAGGTACTCTGTCAGGTGGGTTCACAAGCTTAAACCTAAATATTATAGATGCTTGAGACTAAATCTTAAATAGATAAATATGACATATAACAGGTCAGTTATTTCTTAAGTGTGGTAAAGTTGGGGGTAAAGAGATGATTAAGTAGAATATGAATTTTTAAAAATTTTATAATTATGTATTAATGTTAATAAATGTAGAAGAATTAATACCACTGATAAAATGGTATTAAATAATACATACCATTAAATAAAGTGATTATGATTTATTGATTTATTAAAATCAGTGTATATCTAAAATCCAGGTAAGAATCAATAGCATATCCATTTAGAATGCTTATACAAACATGTAATTTTAATGCTGTTTTCTGAACTCTACCTTGAAGTATCAGGAAAGAAAACCGAGTGAGCTACTTAAGCATATTTTCTAAGACCATGTTATAAAGTAACATGATCACTGTAAAAATATAAGCGTTGGAATAAAATTTATTGGTGCATGTATTACACAGAAGAAAGAAAGTAAGAAATGGGCTTCCCAGGTGGCTCAGCAGTAAAGAATCCGCCTGCCAATGGAGGAGACACGAGTTCGATCCCTGGGTCGGGAAGACCCCCTGGAGGAGGAAATGGCAGCCCACTCCAGTATCCTTGCCTGGAGAATCCCGTGGATGGAGGAGCCTGGCGGGCTGCAGTCCACAGGGTCACGAAGAGTCAGACACCACTGAGCAACTGTGAGCATGTGCATGCTCACCTAAACATTGGAACCCGGAGGTGGAATGGCTGACAAGGCCACCAGATAAATTCATAATAGGACGCCCTCTCCAAATGGCGCTAAAGAGAAGGAGTCTGTTTCTCTTCTACCCCACCTGCATTACTAAGAATAGTAGGGTTTTTGGCCACATTGCTGGGCAGGTGGGATCGTATTTCCTTGTTTAAAGTTTGGAAGAGGTGATCGTTAGGCTTCCCCAGGTCTATACACAGGTTACTGGATTTAGTATTGGGGGACTCTGCTCTCTATAACCTACTCTCTATAACCTTAAGCAACTTACTTATCTGACCCCCATTTTTTCATCTGCCTTTACAGTGTAGATTGCCCAAAAAGGTCATCTGAATAATTAGTTGATGAAGCCAAGTGAAATGTAATATTTGCTACAAGGGAAACCCCAGTTCCCAGTCTTAATAATGACTCAGAAGGGGTAGGTCAGGGGTGGAATTCATAAGGTTTGGGGCTTGGGTTTCAGTGTTTTTTTGTAGGGAAGTGTGGTTGAGACTGAGCAAAATTCTTGATGTAAGGGTCTAGATCATTTTGCAGTGTGTACAAGTATTGAATCAGTACGTTGTACCCCAAAACTAATATAATGTTTTATATTAGTTGTTGTTTTAGTCACTAAGTTATGTCCAACTCTTTTTGATCCCGTGGACTGTAGCCTGCCAGGCTCCTCTGTCCATGGGATTTCCCAGGCAAGAATACTGGAGTGGGTTGCCATGTCGAACCCAAGTCTTCTGCACTGGCAGGTGGATTCTTTACCACTGAGCCACCAGGGAAACTCTATGCATCATTTACACCTCAATTTAAAAAAAGAGTTTAGTACTCTTCAGGATATACAGGTAACAAATACTATTACTCCACTACTGTTTGGAGGAGGGCAGCACTGAGGGTCAGGAATGAGGAAGAGGTAACCCACCTTCACGTGCCCACTGCCTTTAATGCCCTTTCCACCCTCCATGGCTCAACAGTTCGGTCATCAGCTATTGAGATGGAGTTTGCATTTCTATTTTTTCACTTACCTTCTTGACTCGGGAGTGATTTTGAGAAGAGGGAAAATAAATGGTGACTCTGAGCTGCCATCTTTACTCCAGAAATCTATCCTATTTTATGTCTTTTGAATTCTTACACCCCCTGGTGGCTCAGATGGTGAAGAATCTGCCTGGGATGCAGGAGGCTTGAGCTCAAATCCCCTGGGTCAGGGAGATCCCCTTGGAGAAGGGAATGGCTGCCCGCTCCAGTATTCTTGCCTGGAGAATCTCATGAACGGAGGAGCCTGGCGGGCTGCAGTCCATGGGGTGCAAAGAGTCAGACACAACTGAGCAACTCACACTTTCACTTTCATGTATTACCTTTCAAAAACAAACATAACTGATTTTGAGTAACAGCATTCCTAAAATGTTTAGGATTGGTGGACCCAGCTGGGCAGAGTCTTGGCCAGAGTCTTAATGGGAACCAATTTGGACCAAATTAGAGTCTTAATGAGAACCAGTGAGAACCAGTCTGGACCGGTATGTCCAGTGGATGACCTGTTTTCTAGAGAAAGAAAATGGTCCTTTAGTGTGTAGTTCAGATGAGTGGATTTTCGGAAAGTTCTTGAAGCTAACAATGAAATTACTTATTTATTATGGCCTTAAATTCCTGGACATTCATTTTCCTGGAATATTCAAATATTCAAGTCCTGTTGATGGAGGGGTCTTGGTTCTTAGTACTGATATTGAAACTGTGGAATTACCAGTTTCTCGGGGGACCCACATTTTCAAATATCCATCCTCTGTTTGAAACAGGATCTGAGTTATTCTGGCAAAGAGCATGCTGTATCACTCCCTATGAACAGGAAATTCAAGTCCACAAAGAAAAAATTCCTTCAGAGAGAGAGGCTGGAGTGTTGAATCAGTGGTGGGGTCACCAGTGATTTTGACATATTATAATCTTCATATAATTCTGCATAATATAATCTTTCAGTCGTATTTTTCTACTTACTATTTTTTCGAAATTAATGTGTGCTTTGAAAATTGAAATGAACTTCTGGGTATGTATGGGAACACTTTGATGAGAAACAAAAGTAGGGCATTTTAACAGAACTTGAGAATACTGTCAAAAGCTTAAATGCAGGTGATTCACTTGGCACTAATGGGCCAGCCTTACCTGGAGAGTCTTGTGAGAAAGAGGATGGCCCTAAATTATAAAATCCAAGTTTGCTATTAAATTCACTCTTGTTTTGACTTTGTCTACACTGTTCAGCTCCACCAGAGAAAGCTTTCTTCAAAAGGCAGTGACCTTTATACCACATCAGATGAAATCAAAACACCAAGCAGTGTGCTTTCAAAAGCATCGCCCCCTCTCCTGAGATTTCTCTAATTCAAGCCCTGAAATTGAGCAAAAACGCATTATCCTTCCTGTGAGGCTGAATGCATCGAGAAATGTCAGAATAAGATAATTAAACATGTTCCATTACTTTAGAAAGTTTCCATCCTTTTGCAGTGCACCATCAGTATCTCTTTAGCTAGGGATGGAGTCTAACCTCTCTGAGTGCTCAGTCTGGTATGATATTTGTACTGTGATATTTGGATCTGTGACATAATTTTCTTTTCCATACAGTGAATTAATACATTTAAAATATAGTTGAATGCTACTTACTCTTTAAAAACTAAATATATTTAATGACTTATTGGGTCAGTTTTTCTCATCTTTTTTTTTCAAAGTTTATTCTCTAAATTGTTCCTACACTGAAGTAATGGACATTTTAATATAACAAAGCAATATACCCAAACTGAGTAGTCTCTCTCTCTCTCTCTCTCTCTCTCTCTCTATATATATATATATATATATATATATATATATATATACATTTTTTTTTCAACCTTTTGGCCACACCACACAGCATATGGGATCTAAGTTCCCTGACCAGGGATCGAACCTGCAGCCTCTGCATTTTTACCTCGTAGGATTACCTGAGCATGTGTATCAAATACTTACTCAGCAGCTCTGTATCCAAACTAAGTAAGAGTCCTGGCTTCATGACTTCATGGATGTCTGACATTGGGCAAGTTACTTATGTCTCTGCACCTCTGTTTTCTCATCTCTTAAATGAGGTCTGTAAATTTATAGCCCCTGACTTATAGGAGAGGGTTAAACAAGTTGGTATCTGTAGGTGATTTTCCATTATTGGCAACAAATTGGGGGAGACCCATAGTTGCCCCCA